TGAAGCTCATCTAGGGCTTCAATCAGTGCCCTCTTTCACCCCTAGATACTGGTTCTTTGTATGTATGCACACAGCTATCTATTTACTTTAGAAGTTTGGCTGCAAAGAAAAGACCCATCACCCCGATCAGCTTTCTAGTAACTCGCCTATCGTACATATTATGTTAAACAAGTAAATCCTATGTACTGTATGGAAATCAGTATTTTTTTTTTATTTAAGCAGGAGCTTTGGAAAACCTGTAAGATTGTGGTGGGCAAATCATAACAACTGTGTAATACTGAATTTAGGCCACTTGATTACCTGAATCCAATAGGTAGGTTATAATAGAAAATCTAATAGGACATACCAATTTAATATGAACATTTATTCTTATTCTGGAAATTCAGGACAGAAGAAAGCCAAGAGGATGGTTACAAGATTAAGGCTGATTAAAAGATGGAAAACAAATAGTACTTCTCAAAAGGACTTAAAAGGGGCTTGAGGGCCTGCAGAGGATGGTGGATGTCAAAGTAATCTTTTCAGAGAACTGCAACTTTAGGAGAATATTGACATTTAGCAGCCACGATATTCAGTGCTGGCTGTCCCAAAACACCTACTTGTCCTCCATGTGCCTTAGCACAGCTTCTAGAGTATCTGTTTGATAATAAGTAGTGTTTAAATATAAATACTACAGATTAAATGGATCTGGTAGTGGGTGAGACACCTTGCTAAGTAAGAAACTCTTTTTACGAAGAAAAAATCTAAGGAGGGATTGTTTCAGTTGTCTGGCCATTCTTACATTGTGCTTAGCTGGCTGTGGGTTTATTTGTCCTATAGGATCAGGCAGAGAGCAGAACTGTGGAGGCACAGCCCAGGGTGTCTTGTTTGCTCCAGCTCGGGGAAAACGCTGAGGCTGTATCTTCGTGGATGGAGACAACACAAGTTATCTGTGCAAGCACGTCTTGCCACTTTATTTTTTACCTCATTTTTTTCTATATTGTGGGGTTGCAATGCCGGCCTTTAAGCCCGAGACGTACGGGTAAATTCCGTCAGAGCGTTACAGCGAGGCCTCGATGCAAACACCACGGCCTCTCCGGCTACCCTGGGGCGCTGCTGCGGGTGAGAAGCGCCGAACCGCGGCCTGTCTCGGGGACTTTCGGCTCCCAGCCTGGAGCTGTCCCCTCAGCCGAAAGCTCCGCACCGCTCCCTGCCGAGCGGCGCTCTGCCCGCGCCGGGGCGGGCCGCCGGCAGCCCGGCCCCGCGCACGCGGTGGCGGCGGCATGGTGGAGGCCTGGTACATGGACGAGTCCCGGGAGGACCAGCGGGCGCCGCACCGGCAGCGGCCCAACCGCGCCGTCAGCCTGGAGCAGCTGCGCCGCC